GGTTTCTGCGTATCTCGATGCTGTCAATGGGCGTTCGGGTCCACATTGCACTACCTGCTGACGGGCTGGTCGAATTGCGCAACGCCCTCGCTGATCTAATTCAAAATCATTGCCGTGCGGAAGATTTGGGTTAGTCCTCCGTCGCCAATTTCCTCTTCATTTTTTTCAAAACATTTTCGACCACTACATGCCTCATTTTCCGAATCGAACGTGCCTTCAGAGCCATTGTTCACGGGGATGTTAATTAGTATTTAGAAAGTGTGTTACTGTAATCCTCGGTCAAGGTCCTAACAGTCTTGGAGGCTGACGTTGCCACTCGAACAAAGACTGGACACCCAGCTTTCCAATAAATTGCGTAGATCACACATATATGCAGCACAGTTTGTCACCCACCAAAGTGACTACAGTTCCCTTGACGTATGCCACACCTGTAACACACAGTGGGCCTTTGATAGGTCGATACGTAACGTATGATTAGGCGTATGTCTACTAAGTACCACCGTGTGTTTTACTTTTCGAATTAGTGAGATGTGACCGCGTGTTTCTACTGTCTCACTGACTAACATTTTCCCGGTAAGGTCCAGTCTTCGCTCCAGCCTATTTGGCCATGTCTAGTTTATATCGTTTACCATATCAGCTAATCTGTTTACGATTTCCGGCATGATTATCTGCGTTAAAAGTCATTGATGGTGTTTCAGAAGGCCCGTACGATGTTCTGTTAGTTTTTTCCATTTTATTGGGACAAACATAATTATTGCCTTGTATTTATAGTACAGCTTCCATTTGGGCAAATTCGTCCTAAAGCTGACCGCGCCTTACGTTTCATTTTTTCTCTAGCTGCTACCCAGGACCTTCCCGAGGCAAAGGTGCTCTTCGCAGGCAACAAAACCTTCTATTTTGATGTTGGATCAAACAGGTACGGTGTGTTCTTACGGATCTCCGAACTGAGAGCCAACTACCGAACGGCTGTTACGATACCGGAGCACCACTGGACACGTTTTCGTGACATTCTCTCAGACTTAGCGAGCAAGATCGATATCGCCAAGTCCTCATCGAAGACGGCTGGAGACAGTAGCGGCGGCAGTAGAGGGGAGCCGGAAGATAATGAGGAAAATGGGGAAGGACGTGAAAAGGAGGCAGAGAGAAAGCCTGCAATGTCTGCTGCGGCGGCGGCCGCTGCTACTCCAGTCGACTCTGCGAAGCCGAAAGTAGTCACGGTTTCTTAACCTTGCGATTTCAAGTGCTCCTACCACCCCTGGACGCTTGTTTGTCCTTTTTGCTCCACTCGTTCTTTTTGTGCATTTAACTTTTCAGTTTTTTTCCACCCATGCTTTTCATACCTTTCTCCTTTTTTTTCCTTTTTACGTGCACGCTTTTATCCTTCTAATATTAATCTCTGGCGATTTCGCGCGTCCCTGCCTTTGGCAACACTGATTTCTAACGTTAATATGTGGTTGAGTTGTTTGATAACCTCGAGGCTACCAAAACAACCCTATCTCCATCCTTCATTCGTCCCCCATTTCTGATATACTAATTCTAAGAGCTGGAGAATTTATAGTTGACAAATCATGTCCCGGTTGGCGGTCTTGATTCATTTCTATCACAGTCGACGTATTTGCTGCTCATATCGGAAGGTTGGCCGCTTTTGGTTTTTTTGTGTTGTCGCCTAAACCTTTTGCGCACCCACCGGACTACCCCGGAGGCCGGAACCTTACAACCGGTCGGTTAACTTAAACTTCGATATGCACCGAGATTGACTTACCTCGAGTAGTTGACAAGAAGTAAGTCGAAACAACGTTGCTCGTGCCTCTTAAGAACTCGGCCGAGGACGTGCCGGATGCTATTGATGGCGATGATAGTGGCAGCAGGGACTGCAGAACCTCAAGAACCGTGAGGTTATCGTTTGTTGGTAGTTTTCTTCCATGTTGCGATGTACTAGGACTATTGCGCGTACGGAACCGGTGGAAAAAGTAGAAATTCGCCCAGGCCCATCAGCTGATCAGGAATGCGGCGATTGCATGCTGGGGAGGTGGTCGGAGTGTCGTGAAGTTCATTGCTTAAACTCTAAACGGAAAGGCCTCCTTATGGGTCGAATACCTACGCAGAATTTGCTTGTTTGCACTTTCCGGTGGGTTAATGTCGATACACCCAGAAGTTTACTACGCGACAACCAACTACGCACTGCACTACGGTTGTTCTTCACGTGTCTGCAAATTCAATTTGCGCCGTAATCACATGTTGACCGCTCAAAATCATCGACTTTGTGCCATTGATTTGACACGAAAGACTGAAGTGCGAGTAGTCTGTCTGACCGGACCCTGACTAACAGTAAATTCAGTCGTATCCCACCAGAAGAGATGCAGTTGTTTGGGGTTCCAATCGCTTATTCCCTAGAGACAGTCGATGCTAGAGGGTATAGGTCACCTTGACACTGGAGAAAACTAATAATTCAAGTGGGTCTTGGTGCGCCACCCGCGTCTTGCTGCTAGGCCTTCCAAGTTGCACAATGCACATTCATGGGGATAGGTCCACAGTTACCCTGTCCTCTGGGAAACACTAAGTTTTGCAACACGTTTGGGTTGGGTCTAAATGATTCTGCATACTTTAAAACCGAGTTAAATAGACCTGCAGGCGCGAATACGTGAATGGGCTAGGCTGGTGGGTGTGGCTTGACTGTTATCGAAGTTTTCCTTCAAAACAACCTGCGAGAAGGCACGATTTCCCACAAAGTTAGTTAAGGTAGTAAAGTTTCCTACATCCCGCTTCGGGCCTATGTCTACCACTGAGGAAAGTGTGGGAAGTTGCCGGAAAATTCGCAGTGTTCGAGTAATGATTTTTCGGGCGCAGTCTGCGCAAATAACTGCCAAAAATATTCTGGGCCAGCAGGTCTTCTGCAGTAGAAGAATTGACGAAAAATTTCTATCATTGACCAGCAGCGCAGCCACGCCTAAGCAGTCTTTGCCGCCTGGAATACTCGGCACTTTCGACGCTAAATCCAACCCGTCGCCTGCCCGTCTTGGAGGTGGCGACGGGCCTAACCAGTCATTTGATAATTAGTGTTAGCGACCGGTAACTGCCAGCTGTAGGGGCGGTACAATTGACGGATCTTCCACCCAAACGTTACTTGGGAGAGCTCCACATCAGCTTCTAGAGAGTGCAGAAATGGATTTGCTTCAAGAGGTAGGACAGTTTTGGCGGCTATCTTTAATGTTATCTCGTACATGCACTCTCGTGGGGAATGATAGCGGACACCCAAAGTGGAGCCTATAGCGCAAGGCCACCTATGCCAGTGAGGGTTCTTGTTTCCCCTTTGCACTCTGTGCGCCCATTGTCCGCAGTTCGACAATGTAGTTGGCTCAGGTCTTTGTGGGACAGCCTTATCGACAATGACAAGAGAGATTAGGGTGGTCATTTCTGGTCTGTGTAACGTCATCAACCAGCAGTGCACCAAGCACCGGGAGGGATCCTACTTTCGAACCTGGATCGCTTAGTCGTAGAGCGGTTGGGTTTGATGCTCTGTTAGACACCACATTAGACAAGTATATAGCGATGTAATCAGAAAGTAGGCTTATACTATAAGAAGTATGCGTTACGATAACAAATGGATAGAGTAGGGAAAGTGGAAAATAACAAATACAAGGCAATAGCGAGATACTACTGTACAAATGATCCGTTTGGAGTGAGAGATGGTCACGTCAAATGGTGATTGCAGTGCTGTCGTCAACTGCGGGTAAGGGCCAGGGAGTGTGCTGACGACAAGGCAAACGAGCGGGTAGCGGGACACTGACCTCGCTGGCAGGCGATCACACCAGACCCATCCGGGATCCGCGGCAAAGTGACCTCAGCTCGTTCAAAACAGTCCTGTCGAACTTGTGGTGCGTTACAATGCTCAGTCTATTTAGTTGCCGGACGGGCCTCCGCTGTCCCTCGTTCCGATTGTTGAGAGTTTGTCTCCATATGACTGCTTGCGAGGTCTTTGGACCGGGTATTCACGGCAAAAGGGAATCCACCAAAGCGTCAATGAGGACTACTCAAATGTGTGGACGAATCGTCCTTGTAGGCGTGGAAACCTGACGGTCGATTGCGTGTGCATGAAGTGTCGCCAGAGTTAAGAAAGAGAAAGATCACTAGGAACAGGTAAAAGAAGTGGTCTTTCTGGCCCCATACCGCTCAGAACGGTGCCATATCTCAAGTGTGATTTAAGCCTTACGGTAAGTTCCTTTTCCCCGTCGATATCTCAAACGCCCAGGAGGGCAATTTTGCCTGCTGGTGTTAAATATCTGCCCGACTTCTTGGTTGTTTGCAAGAGAAGGCCATGTATTAGTGGCGCCCACAAAGGGGGGGGGGCGGCTTGCTGGACCAAAACCTGGGTCAGGCCGGATCACGGCGCGAGCCCATCTGACAGCGCACGGTCGGTGCCAGTCCACAAAAATACCGTCGTACAGGCGTGTGGTAGTCCGTCTTAGATGTAGACCTTCGCACCGCGTCCGGTCTCATCACCAGAATGTTGACAGATTCTGTCAGTTGACCGGAAAGTGGGCGAAGGAGGCTGAAAATGGGGAATCTACTCTCTGGGTGCATCGGCGAATTCCCCCCTATCGGGTTGTCCCATAAGTTCGGGCGCTTTTCCACTATTCAACATTTTGCTAAGTAATAGTTTGTTTGATGCATTCACGTTATATCTCATTTTGTTCCTCTCGCCAATCGCTTGCGGAATTTGTCTCTAGTTTTCAATTTGAATTAACTTTTGATCATTTACAGCTCAAAGGAAATGGAGTGTCAGGTGGACAAAAATGAATATTTCTCACGCCTTCGTTTATTCGTGTTCGTTTGTGCCTCATTTCTGATCCGAAATCGCCTCATCCGTCGGCAACCCAAGTTATTTTTAGAGCTTATTATAACTGGCAACGAAAAGTGGTGCTCACACATGCACGCGAAACAAGGAGAAGAACGGCTATGCCCCAATAAGCAACACCTCGGACCAAACCTGATCTTCGTACTCGCAAGAGGATGATGCGTGTCCGGTTGGATATGGAAGGAGTTATCTATTATTAATTGCTTGAAAGGAACCATAACACTAATGCAGAGCTTTACACTCAACAACTTCACCGTCCAGACAAAGCAATTCAGCAAAAAACCCAAGTTGTAGAAGTGGTGTAATTTTGCAGCATGACAACGTCAGGCCTTGGATTGCAAAATTCATCAAAAAGTGTCACTGAAGAGCTTGACTTGGCGGTTCTTTCGATTCCACCTTATTCTCCGGACCTTGCTCTATCGGATTACCATTTTCTCCTGTCACTCGAAAACAATTCGATCGGAGTATTCTTCAATAACGACGCAGATCTTCAAAATTGGATCAACTTCCTTTTGTCAGAACTCGCAGATTTCTTCAAGCCATGAGTCGATAAACTGCCGAAAGGATGGGAGGCGGTTGTAAGTAACATAGAGGAACGCATGCATATATATGTTAAAGGTCTTATACCTTACTCCCGACATAGATACTTGCTAAAAGCCCAGACACGTGTTTCGCCGATATTTTGCCGCTGCGTGACACAGCTGCGAGGGGTTCGGCTCTTCAGTGGGACCCCCAGCGTTCTCTAGCGGTTTCTGGTATATGAACTCCAGAGAACAATCAAGTGAATAATTTCAGAAATTACTCAATGCAGGACTTGGAGTTAAATCTGCGGGACATGACTTTTTAGGGTCAGAACCGAAATTTCAATGAACATTCGAGTCGAAGACAATCAACTATTGTGGAATAACCACGTAATGCCCATATATATGTATACAAAATTTTGAATGATTGAAATCACATGAACTTATGAGACATTCCATTGGTATAAATCTGACGCGCTAGTGGTCTTGACTCTGAAGTCTGCCAGTTGACGGAGTTACTCATTCCTTCTCACAACTGAAGGTTAGGTTGTAATGGTTCCTTTAGAAGGTAGCTTTTATGACACTGTCACGCATGTGAGATTCGAGTCGTCCTGATTGCAGTCTGGACAAGGTCGTGCATTGTTCACACAGGCGGTAAGTTCGACTTGCTCACACATTACACTTCCGCCCGCCTCCGGTTGACTTTACATCGTTGCTCACGACGGTGAGACTGGCGGCAGGATTGCGTGACCGAATGGGTCCACTTTAACCTCAGTCAGTCGGTTAAAACCGATAGAAGGCAAAGCTGCTGCCCTCGTTCCTACCCAAGCGCTCTCCACCGTACAATCCC